ATGAAATTTGATTAGTAATGAAGTATTCAATCAATGCTTTGATTCAGAAGAGTAAATAGGCACCAACTTATTTCCTAGGCTTTGTTAAGCCTCTGTAGGTAAGAAATGACAAACGACAAAGCAGTTTACGCTGGATTTATTTGAACACTGAAGTAAATTTACAAAGTAAAGGCAGAAACGAGAGTTGGAGGGTTGTAACAGCACACCGGACAAGGAAATGATATTTGCGTCTTGCTTGTAACAAGAGGAAGATAGATCTCTAACACCCGAGAGAACTGAAATTTCTGCTACCATTACAGTTATATTCCGTATCATCTTAAAGTTTGCCTTGAGCACATTACCATATGCATTTAAAGCCATTTATTTCCATCTTTCCAAATGGAGTTTATTTAACTAAAGTTTGGGAGGGATGACAACAACCACGCTCAATCATCCCCAGCCATCAGTGATTAGCAATCACTCCCTTCGTTCTTCCTCCACCAAATGCTACTGTATAAATGCCAAATGCGATATCTCCCTCTCCCTCGCGTGTGACTTTTGCATCCCAACTCCACCTCTGCAGCTGCCCCTTGGTTACCTTGAGTACATCATGAGTCCAGATATCTGCTTCTCTTAGTTCGCCATGTTGTGGCAAAACAGACTATACTCAGCTCAGGGCACCAACTCTGGAAAAGAGGTCCAATTCCTTGAACTGATGTCCCAGTTGTGACACGTCTGTTATACCCCTGACCAAAGTGCTCAGATTGCTCCCAATTGCTCCAGATTGCCCTGCTGTGTAACTGGATCTCTAGGGATCTGTCATTGCAAAGTAGTTCTCATTTATCCAGTAAAACAAAAGAATAATGTGTGCCTGGCACAGTACTGTACCTTACTTTCAGATACAAAGTGGAACAGTGTATTTCAGCACGCTGATTATAGTAGAGGTGCTCGAGGCCAAATCCAGCTACCTGTTTTTGGAATCGTTCAATTCCTTCTGCACACATATACTGTATATCTATTATTATTTTTGAGTTATATAGATTTTTTTTAATGTTATATAAATACCAGATGCACATATATGTATGATTAACACAGTGACAGCAATAAACTGTTGATGTCTTCCTTAGTTGAAATATTCTTCATAAATCTAGATGACTTTTTCCTATGAAGTTACAATATGAAGCTTATAGCAGCTTTTTTTACTAAGGAGCTTTATGTTTTAACGTCATTCCTATTGTTCTTCCAGGTTTTGGGAGCTTTTTTTTTTACTGTATTCATTACGGAATGAACTGCACAGTCATTGTTAATATAATGTACAATCATATTGAACATGTTGATGGTCATTGGGTGGGGAAACAATTGTCACGATGAATTAAAACTATTTCAAGGTATTATGCATATGGTATTTATCTAACATTAAATTAAATGGTATGGAGGGGCACTGTATCATGTGATTTTTCTGATTGCTGTAGTCGTAGTTACTTGGATTTTCCATTCTAGTGTTTAGTATTATTATGTTTCAGAAGGTACTACAGGCAAGAGCATTATCATGCCCTGTAGAAAAGGAACCCATTGCCTCTATTTCTTGTGGATTTTGACATGAGAGATAACCAGTGGGGCTGTGTTTTGGCCGTTCTGTTGAAGGTGGGGGCTGAAGTAGGGGTAGAGTTTCTCAGTGAAGGTGTCGGTGAAAGTGTAGATGTGAGAATTTGCCTCTACGTTGTAAAAGGAGACCTGCCCCTCCTCGTAATCCACATACACCCCCACCTTCTGGGGCTTTGGGGTCACAGACAGCAGAGTCAGGGGGTCGGTCAGTGCACAGTACTGGTTTCCGTTCCACAGGATAACAGCCCAGTAACCACTCTCTGGGTTCAGGGTGATATTCCCCTTCCTGTTGACAGACTCTCTGGCAACCCCTAAATCCCAGCCAGACTTCTCCTCCACCTCCACCTCCCAGTAGTGTCTCCCCGCGGAGAAGCCTTGGGCGCCCAGCACGCTGCCAAACAGGTCGTATCTCTGCGGACTGTCGGGGAGGTCCTGGCGCTTGTCCCCGTCTTGCACCTCTCGCCCGTCCTCGGACAAGACGAGATTGGGGTGGGCCGTGCTGGAGTCCAGCGTCACATCATCTGCGGAGAAACAGACATTGCTCTGCAGTTCCACAGGTAAGGCATCGAAAGATCTGACGACTGCGGAGTCCGACGGCCAACCGTACCTGAGTATTTCCGAATCCTCTTCAGTTCTGAAAAAATAACAAATGCGTGGTCAGGGATATTATCGTGTAGAGGGCAGAAAACATGGAACGTTGGAAAATGCAGCTTCCTGTTCTGTCAGAGTCTTTAAAAGTGAAGTGATGAGCCATGCAAACAGCACCAAAGACACAGAGGATGGAGATATGTACGTCCTGCCATTTTTCCAACTGCTCGTTCCCATTTTGGGCTGTGGGGGGAACCGGAACCTAACCCCAGCAAGCAACAGCCGCAAGGCAGGATCTGCCCCAGACAGGATCAAGTTCAAGTTCAAGTTTATTGTCATTGAACTCATAAACAGGTATATGGTATAACGAAATGCTATATAGCTAGCTCTCAGGTGATACGTAGTACAAAAAAAACAACAATACAATTGTACAATTGTAAGAAAGACAGAGACAACAGGCAGTGTGCAAAAAACAACAACAGGCAATGTGCAAAACATCAAAAAGGTTACAGGTAATGTGCAAAAACAACATCAGATGTGCAAAAACATGCATCAACAGAATGAAATAAAAGGA